CAACAACAACAACAACAACAACAACAACAACAACAACAACAACAACAACAACAACAACAACAACAACAACAACAACAACAACAACAACAACAACAACAACAACAACTTCAGCCACCTCCGCGAAGATCTCGTCTGTTCAAGACACGAGCCGAGTCGAAGAAGGCCCAGGTCAGCTGGCAGCTTTCGTCCGGCCGCGAGCCCTCGCGAACCATCGAACAACAAGAATCCCCGAATCGTTGGAACGGCGCTCCCCGTTCTAACGCGGGACCATGTCCCGAGAACGGGACGACGGTCGTCGAGGCGGCCACCGGTTTTCACCAGCGACGCTCCAAACTATCCGGTCATGGAAGGAACACGCTCCAGAGGAGCATGAGCAGTCCGGAATTTCAGGCGGAGCTGATCCAGGTGGCGAGAAGAGTTCGCGACAAGCTCGAGTCTAGCGGGAATCTAGAGATCGGTGAATCGGCGCAGGATCGTCGTACTCGTCATCAGCGATGCGAAACGGAAGATGCGCGTAAGAGTCGCAACCTCGAGATGGACGCTGCTGGAAGCGCGGACCGACCACGACGAGCACGCGGCAATGAAAACGACAAGCGCAACAGCGTCGCGGAATGTCCACCGTCCGAGAGCCGATTTGCCAAGGACGCGGCCGACAAGGAGAACTCGGATCCCGGCCGGTGGAACGAACAGTCGAGACAAAAGTGGCCCGACGTGGTCGTGTCAGCGGAGAAGTCGGGAGGCAACGGTTGCATCGCCGGCGAAGCCAACAACTTGCTCTTCGTCGACCGTATCGAACGAGAAGACCAACAACCTGCTCAGCCGTGAGTCCCTCTCTCTCTCTCTCTCTCTCTCTCTCTCTCTCTCTCTAACTTGGATTCCTGCTCGATCGTTCGTCCGTCTTCCTCGATAGATTCGCCCCTGCGGCGCACTTCACTCCAAAGACTTTTTATTTCGGTATGAACGAGTGTCCGAATGGCGAGTCTCGCCACGACGGGGACCAGGAAGCCGGAAGGGAGCGAAAAGCAGGCAAATCGAACGTGGATCCAAACGACGACACGGACGATAACGTAAGTTTCACGTTCGCCTCACTTCTTCGCTTTTACGACTTTGGTTGCTCTTTCAGGAGAAAAGCGTCGTGGAGAACATCTCGCTGAAGCTACGACCAACTTTGCCGAAGAAGCAGCTGGAAATTCCGCGATTCTCGCCATCGGCCGCCTGGAGATTGCTCTCGGCGTTGGAAGCGCCGGGCCCGAGCATGAGCACCGCCAGCGAAGAGATGCCGGTTCGTAGTCCTCGCTGCCGCGTCGTTTCGCTCTGCAATAACCTTCCCCTCCTCCGTTTGCCTTTCAGGTGATGTTCGAGGAACGTATAGAACGGCTCTCGAGACCTCCACCGGCATTTCCGGTCTCGCTGGGCCCTCGCAGTTGGCACGACAAGTCGGGCGATTCCGGGATATCCGGGGACGCCGGGGCTGTCAACGAGGACTCCCTCGACGTCAGTACGATCAATCGAATGAAAACGACCGTGACCAGACCAACTTGGACGCCGCAACAGGACCTCGGGGAAGAGTCGAGTAGCGATGCAGGCGTCGATTCGCCACCGCCGCCACCTTTGCCCACCCCCTTCAAGTATCATCCTCCACGAGCACACGTATTTTCCCTCTCGTTGCCCAGAGATGACGCCAGGGCGTACCTATGCGGCGGCGGCGGCGCGGACGCCAAGCCCAGAGAGGGATCGGCCTTCAATTCTCTGCAGAAGCTCAAACGATCGGTCTCCGGAGCTTTCGGCATCGGCTCCCACGATCCGCAACGGAAATGCACGCGCGATGTCCTCGACGACAATTGGCTGTTGTCGAGCAGCGCGCCAACCTCGTTGCAGCACAATCCAGCTCGCGGCGATGCGACCAGAATCTCACCGTCCGTTTGGAAACCGTTCTCCGGTCGCGACTCCGTCGATCAATGCGATCAACGCAACGTCGACGACGGAGACGACGACGACGACGACGATGACGACGACGACGACGACGACGACGACGACGACGACGA